GATGATAATTATATTATATGCATGAATAAATTATAGGTCGAATAATTTCATTTATACGAACCAAAAATAACTAAATAGTTCAGTTGTTTATAAAATGTTTTAAAATTGTAATACGAAAAAATAAAACGTATACAAATGTACATTAATTTGTATGGTATTAAGAAAATAATTATACTGACATATCTTTTTCTTTTTTTTTAAATTTTTTATTAAGATGTATAAAAACATTTTTGGTGTAAGCCGAACTCAAGTTCAATTATTCTGTAAAAGCTGCCTCTGTGTGTGCTATCATATGTTTTCAAGAAATCAATAAACGATTGCCACATGTTTTGCCGTTATTTATATATTTCTTTGGAAATCTTCCTATAATGACGATAGTTCTGTTGTTGTTTTTCCCTTACTGAAGCCACACTGATAATCTCCCACACATTCTTTCACGTACGGGGTGAGACGTTTTAGTAAGATTCTGGAAAATATGCTGTATACTGAGTTCAGCAGTGATCGTATAAAACTGTTCGATCGATTATACTCTAAAGCTCGAATGGGGCCGGTGAAATATAACGGTGTGACACATGGGGTCGTTCCTTTGTTTTGTCACGTAATGTCCTGTAATACAGAACAAATATAAAAATGTTGTTTTTATTTCTTTTTTTATTAAAAATCGCAAATATCGCAGTCGGCTGTTATTTTGACCAACTGCAATACTGATGATTGTTATCGAAAAAACAAAAAAAAAAAAAATTATAAAAAACAACAATATACGAATATTTTTTAGTTTGTTTAAAACACAATGGAAATTAGAAATAATAGGTACCGGAAACCCGGAAACGCTGCGAAATAAACAATACTATAGGTATAGGTACTAGCATATAACAGAGTAATCTCATAATTTGCGTAAATATCATAATATATACGGGCGTGATTATTATTGCACTTTATAAGCGCGCGTAATATTGTGTTGTGTTGATATTAACTCGCGGGACTTGGGATTTTGGAGAACTAATTGCACGTATACATATTTATAATACAGACTCGCGAGACGGACCGACAGTGGATTTTGTTATAATATACGGAGATTATAATTATTATTATTATTATAATATTTTCGTTCGCGTTTTCCCGCAACAGAGTTTCCGCGGTAGTTTTTTTTTTTTTTTTTTCGTGCCGGGATTACTACGATTAAAAAATAATAACAAACCGTGTATTATAAATCTCAATGTAAATTTTAATTGCGTGTTTAAAACAATAATATTACCGTAGTTTATAATATTTAATGGTTATACATTAATTTTACAATCGCAGCGTGTGTGTAAACTTATTTACAAGCAGACATCGCTGGTCAGACATTGCGTGTGTTTAGCAAACAAGATAGAGGTATCTGTACAGAAAACCAGACATATATTCCTTTTTTTTTTTTTTTCCATGTAGATTATTGATTTGCTATGAACCACACCGCGGTTCACGATCTTAGAGGATAATGTCCGAAGGTTCTCAACCGTATCTCAATTAAACGTCGTCTGCTTATCGTTCAAAATACATTGGCTAACCGCATTTATAGTTATTTGAAGACTTGAGATTATACAGTTATTAAGAACTTACTGGTGTATTTGTGTTTACTATTTTTTTTTATTCGTATAATGTGTAACCGTGACACTAACGCGGTGTAATTTGTATTCTGGTGATTTTATAATTTGTGTTTACTGTTTATAGTAGAAGAGCTCTGTACCACAGTCCGATCGATTCGGTCGTGTTTGTTTTGGAATTCACTACGGCCCGGTCCGGTCCGTCCGTAATTTTTAGGACCAGGCCAATTTGTGCGCCGATAGAGTGCAATGATTATTATGTTACCTAACACGTACGAAAACGAACTATTATCTGGGCCCTGGGATAATCATATTCGGCAAAACGATTTGAAATACACACGACGGAAACGGATAACACAGCGATAAAATATAATTTCGTGTTTTTCATGTTATTTGCATATTGACTGGACGATCATCACGTGATTCGTAATATACGATTCGCTCTCGTGTTATTGGCTATTTTAAATTTAGAAAAATCATATTATCATTGTATTGTATTTTAGTTTTGATTATGGATTTAATATAAAATTTTTTTTTTCATTTGGCTACACACGGACATGACGACCAGACCTAAGCTAACTTATCCTAAGTATTATAATGATACAACATAACGTAAGTAGGTACTGCAGGTTACATATTATTTTGTATTTATGTGTAGTATGTGGATTGTACAACTGTATAAGAAGTAACATAATATTATAATTTTTATATTGTTTCCTTTGATTAGTCGATGACTGATGCAAAAGGGGAAAGTGACAGGATGAACGCCCCATCCCTCTTAGTAGGTAATTTTTTTTACGTATTTTAATTTGTATTCCAAGTATAATTGTTTGCATTGTTAGGTTAACATAATTATGTTTTGCTTTTAATTTGTCAGATTGAAAACTTGGCTAAGATCTTTTGGCTAAGATAATTAAAAACGAAAGGTTATATTATAAATTATTTTTGCATATACATTGAAACAGTTGTAAGTGGATACAATTATTGAACAATTATCAAAAACAACATGCATTTTATTTTATAACTACTCATAATAATTAACCTATCTTAAACTAACCTTAGGCTTAACCTTAAGCTTAACCATTGATATTATTAAAAAATTAAACAATTATAAACATAATAATTGTATAGATAATACGAATATTGAATATAGGTAATATTATGTTACAAAAATTGTATTTTGCTTTTTAACTATTATTCAAAATGTGTTTTTTATTTTTAAATGTTTAATGTTTTATTGGACCTATAATATTACTATGACACCTGAACTCTTTTATATTAATTATATAATGTAGAAATAATAAGTCTGGTCAGGTCCGGTCTTAATGTACTTTAACACGGTGTCGCGGTTGGGTATCGGTCCTCTTTATTAAATAAACATTTTTAAAAAACCGGTCCAATCCGGTAAAGCCCCATGGTTTATTCCGTTGTTCTGGTTCAGTCCTAGTCATAATTTGACTACACTGGTCCGGTCCGGTTTCGTAAGTATGACCGTAAGTAAAATTTGAACTTAAGTTGACCCGGCGAGTGAACAACTGAAACAACGATTAGTTGTTGTACCGTAATTTCTAATACCATTACTTTCTTGGTAAGACTGCAATGGTATAAAAACTACGCAGTACCGGGTTGACGATATTGATACAGTGTAAAGTGAAGATCCGGCCATAGGCAGGGTGGGCTTTGTGCAAGCTGTCATTATCTCATCATGTTATTTCATCTTCCTAGAATAGAGTGGTCGAGACTTTACCACTTTTGGTACAATCAAGGAAGGTTCAAACAGCTATATCGGCCAAATGGAATTTAGTATATTCAGCAGTGTGCGAAATCGACGAAATGGTACAAAAGTTGATTTACTTTGTTGAGCAATGTACAGTATTTACTCTTTCCCATAAGCCATACAAGATCCTCACTATCTGGAGCGGGACGCAATCCGATGACTCTCCGAATTTTTTGAAAAAACTTAATTTTTAATGAAATTTGTTATTTCGCTACTATTTTGTTTCGTTGGTATTTACTCGCATTATTCATACATGTAATATTTTCACTGGTACTTCTCCTCATAGCTAACTATAGGAATAAATAAAATAAACAATTTTCTAAGATAATGTTATAGATAATTATGACTCCTCAATATTTTTTCAATAAATATCAATAATTTGCATAGGAAAAAGATAAAAAATGTTATTTTTTCCCTCTAGATACCACATTTTGTTTACCAGATGTTATAATTTTTTTTCATTAGGCAAAAGGTACAGAAGGTGGATATTTATCCAGAACAAATAAAGAAAAACAGAAAAAAAAAAAAAAAGGAAAATTTGTATTATTTAACGGGTGGTTTAACGGCGCAGCGACCGAACTGATAGTGGTCGCCGCCGTTCTCGAAAAGCCGAGTAGCGCGAGTGTTTAAGCCTCGGTCCGCACAGAGGAAAAGAGGATTAATCTCGACCCGGACTCGGGAAAATCCACTCGTGCTTACCCGCGACCCTGCTGTTTTACGTAGCACGTGAAGACCTAGAGGATAGAGGGCTTACTACGGCGGTCGTGTGTGCGGATCAACGGGATTTGATAAATTAAATTTTGAAATTAAATACAAAAAAAAAAAACCTCATCGTGGTTATTACGAAGAGTGTTTGGCGATTTTATGACATTTCGTCGGAAGTGAGGCGATTCCTTTTAATTTTCTTGTATACATATATTGCAATCATATTGTCTTCTCCCATACAATTTTTACCTTCCGCAAATCCTTTTATATAATACATTAATCCTAGCAATTCATCATGCCGCATTCTAGTGCACAGATATAGCTATTACAGTTGTCAGGAAATTGATAAGGGTCCGGACACAATATTTCACTATTACCAGCTCTCTCTCTCTCCCCTCAAAATATTATAATACCATAATTTCGTATTGCGGTTCTTGTGCATTATTTCCCCGTCACGCGACTTTTCTACTTAAAACTGTGACCGGCGTGACATTTTCCGTTTTCCCACTCCCAACATCGTTTTAAAACGACTATAGGTTTTAGGTTTTCATTTAGGACACTATTAAATTTCACTCTGGCAGTATATATGTTGGATGCGATTGAATTTTTTATTTTATTTTTTTTTTTTTTTTTGGAATTAGCATTACTGCGGGGGGCCACTCTGCCTACAATTCTCTTATCATATTTCCGACAGTTGGATACCGTCCGCTTTAGCGCATACGGCCCCAATCCGTTCGTTTTATTTGTTCGATATTTGTCCGTAGAATACATTATAATCATAATAATAATAATAATAATAATAATAGGTATACCGTGCTGCGGTACCCAAACTGTCCCGAGGGAGGCGTAAATGCATTAAAAAAAAAAAAAAAAAAAAAAAAACATGTATGTGTAAAAAATAAAAACCTTTTTTTTTTTTATGACTAGAAATAATCGTTTATTATAATATGGAAACAATGTAAAAAAAAAAAAAAAAATTACAATAAAAATAAAAGTTTACATATATGATATTGCTTTATTATTATTGCCAAGAGAACATCATATTATCATAATGATAATAATAATATTTATTACATAATATTATTATTATACGACATTACATAATTATACGGTATACACAAGATAAAAATATGTATATTTATATATAATATACCTAAACGTTTTGTTTTGTTTTTTTTTGTTTTTTTCATATCATTTTTTTACATACGGTATTGACTAGGATATTCGCGTGTCGGCTACTAACACACGGCATAACAATACACCTAATATTATATCAGCGTGAGTTTTTCTTAAATTTATTATTAAAATTTTACCCGACACGGTCTACGATATAAAGGCGTTTAGCGTACCGTATACGTTTTCGGTATACCGAATATGATAATATAATGATTATTATTAAATGTTATGCCGATATTATATTTGATGCACTTTTCAATATTAGAAGCGATATATTGTTATAATACGTTTATTGTATATAATATATTAAAAATAAATAATAATAATAATAAAATTAAAAAAAAGTATCGAAAAATCTATAGTATAATTATAATAATAAAAATTAGTAATAATGATAATGATAATAATGAACGACAGAGAAAAATGCAAGAACAAATAAAAATTACACAAACAAAAAAAAATTAAGAAAGAAAACCCGACACTATTCGTATACCTATACTTAACTATATTAGATGTCGACTTCACAGTATGGATATTACCAGCGGTGACATCACCCGGTATATTGTAACGGGACATCGGTTACCTACACAATAAAAAATAGATATCGGGTAATGCCCGGAAGACTTGACGTCAGAGGTTCCTAAAGAAAAAAAAAAAATTGGCTTAACACGGTTCTCGTCGTGGCTATAAAACTATTCACGTTTTGTAGACGCGAGATCGTTATTGCATAACGTGATATTTATTGTATTTTTTGTTTGCGTGCTATTCACGCGTACAGATAGCGCTGTCGGGCACGTTATTGGCCGTCGGACGAAAATACGATTCCCGATATGCCCAGGGAAATAGACGCACGTTTTCCGATAGATACGAGTGTAGATTTCGGAGCACCTACCAATTTATATTTTACAGTGTGCGACGCGTGACGGTATGACAATGATGGGATTTCACGGAATCGGTCCACGGTAAATATTACGCATAACTAGTGCTTTAGGTATGTTCTAAAAAAAAATGTAGTGGACGACCTTTTTTATCACTCGAAAGTTACATACTGCTAAAATACGCTCTGATGGGCAAAACGTGTTATATGTTATGCGCAAAATTAAATCCAGAATTTAGATTCTTTTCACGGGTACCTTGTTGTGGACAATAAGGCCTCTGCTTTTGCTACCCGGAAACCAACTCGCATAGGCGTCCGAGAAAAACGACCGTACCACAGGAGAGTTCTCCGTCGAAATTTCACTTAGCGTAATATATGTTTGCATACGTACGAACAAGAATGGAAGATTAGATTATACAGGTATAATTACGAGCATACGGTATAATTAGGTATTTACCCGACACGCGCTAGAACCCCGGTTTGTTATAGGAACTACTCGGCATTTCATCGGTCGCTCATATCGTTCTCGGTTTTTTTTTTTTTTTTTTAATATTTGTACGGAGTTTATATTCTGTTACTGGTTTATCGTGGCGAATTTTATCGTTTAAGTAGGCCAATACTAATATTCTCGTCTATGAATGGAAAGATTTCGTGTCCACAGACAGTTGTACAACCGCGGAAGGGGGAGGGGGGGGTTAGCTAGGCGGATTGTTTGCGAATTCTCCCTGCGATTTGTACTGCGATTTCAGATGTTACCTTGTAATTTCGAATGGCCGCGAACTTCACTTGTTTGTATGCAACGACCGCAAACCCCCGAAAATTAATCCCGCCGGTCGAGCCCACTGCCTGTCGGTAAATCAATTCCACACGATATGATAATGTGTTTTCGTATCCTACAGCGTATATAAACCGCGTAAACAAAAATAGCGGTTCGCGATCAATGAAACGACGAGGACCGTGACACCGGTAGGCGATCATAACGCTATAGTAAAGTACCTAAAATAATCAATTTTTTCATGCAAATAAAGTCCCCGCGCTCTTGTACGACACCGCGGAACGTACCGTTATCATGGTAATAATACGCGCGTAACTATTTTAGATACAATAAAAATGTGTATAACCTAAAAACTATAATAATATTATTATCCTTAAATTAATCGTAGAAAAATCGCTACAAAAAAACGTTTACGTTTAAAAAAATTTCTCGAAAAAAAAACATCAGCGCCTCTAATGTTACAAATATATAATGTTATTGTAATATACGATAATAATACGACAACGCAATATTTTCATAATATTACCGTAACGATGCGACTGAGCGCCGACTCCGTGTAAAATATATCATAATACAGAGTATGGCGGCGGCGGTCCGTAACCGATAATATTATTATTATCGTTTGTTATCATGTACAATAAGTATTGTATCAAAATACAATACGGGTAGCGTAGCTAATTAAAAAATAGCTAAACAATAAAACTAAATATAATTATTATTATAATTTTTTTTTTTTTATTTCGTTTTTTCATTATTTTATTGAGCATTACAATTTTTTTTTTTTTTTTTTTTTTTTTTTTACGGTTATATAGTCTCATAAATCTGTTTTCCAAACCCTATATCATATTGTATCATAACGATACACACTATATTTAATATCATTAAATTATTGCGTCTGTAAATAATTATCATCTATCAGTAAAATAATACAGATAATATTTATATAAAACGTTGTCGCCATTTTGTTACGCCGTCCCGTACGCATTTCGTTCGTTTTTTTTATTATAATTTACGAGGTGGTTACACCTATGGAATTAAAAAAAAACCTTCCGGCCCCGAGGTAAGAATCGCAGACATTCGTGGGCACGGACGTTGGCGTAACGTTAGGACTTTCTCGGGTGACTTGACCGTCAACAGGCGGCGCCGGACCGTCGACTCCTCGGCGTCGAGACGCCTTTTGCTCGGGGCCGCGGTTTATGGGGTAAAACCAACGTGTAAACGCTAAGCCCCCGATAGCGCCCCCCCCCCAAAATATAGTTACGTCGGTGGGCGCGGACACATAACGACGACGTCAACGGTGATATTATTCTCTCAACACGCCACTAAACGCTAAAATAGCCATCGTTGAAATCGTTTTTTTTGTTTTATTATTTATGTATATATATACATATATCGGGTGTACGCAATATCGTATACGTTAATACGCAGTAGTACACGCAATAGATATAATATAACTTCATTAAAAAATTACGCGCTAAGAACAATAAATTATTATCGATAATACTAAAAATACATGTTTTTCTTTTCTTATATTACTTACGACGAAAATGCATATATATATATATTATACGCATACGTTATATTATATTTATAAATAATTACCGTAATAAAAATTTTACCTATACATAATTAAGTCTAAATTTCGTATTGTAATAAAGTTAATATTGCCGTCATGTAATCATAATAATATAAATATTTTAAGTCTCTCTACGACGACACGAGCAGGCTGTCGCTAATGTATATTTTTGTACATGTTAATATTATAATGTACACGAATAAAGTATAATGTTTTTTTGGAAGTCAAACGCGCGCGCGTGCATTTCTATGTGCGTGTCTGTGTGAGTGTGTGCGTATGTGTGTGTGTGTGTGTGTGTGTGTGCGTGTGTACGATATTATTGAAAAAAAAAAAAAAAAATGAAAATGAAAAATAACGAAAACAGTATTATACAAACATAATATTGTTGCGCCATTCGTCGGACGTTTCGCGGCGGCCACCTGTACACGTCGTCATCGTCGTCGGAGAGAATTTTTTTATTTTTTCACAATGGCGTCGCGGCGGCACAAAAGGATTTAAATATCACGCGTTCGGAGTACATACCTATATATATATATATGTGTGTGTAATTTTTGACGCAGTGACGTGGCTATTGGGGGTGGGGGAAAAGGGCCACCTGTTCGAACGACGTCAAAGTTTTTTTGTTTTTTTTGTTTTTCGAAGATAAAATCTTTCGGATGGACGAGCGTTTGAACACTCGGATTGGACACATGAGATGATTTCCGAACATGCGACACGGTCACGGATTAGGGAGCAACGCGCGGGGTAACATAGTGGACCCGATAAAGACAAATTACAAAAATTGTGTAGACGTTATAATTGTATTTGTACACAATATAAACCGCACGGCTAGGATGACGAAGCATTTGGGAAAAGTTAATTTGGTTTTCTTAAGTCATTTTCGTCATTTCAGCAGTTATGCGCCCGTAATTGGTTGTACCCGTAAACCCGAATGTCGAACGTAATATGAAATCGAACGAAAACTTTTTGCTTTTTTTTTACTTATAGACGTGTAGACCGGGGTTCCTCTATGCGTGAAACCGTTCGGGTTTTCGGGGTCAGCAGCTTGCGATGTAGCCACGTCACTGCGGATAACGTGACGATTCGTCGTCCCGGACGTTATTTTACATTAGTATAAACCGATTAAACCGCGTGAATCTCGACGGCGGAGGGAGTGAAATAGATAAAAAAAAAATCGCCTGAAAATCGCGGACCGCCGAAATCATATTCCCCGTCGACGATAACGTACCGACGCCTACGAGACTTTCGGAAGAAAATCCCAGAACGACACGTGCGTCGCGCGTGTCGTCCGCCTATTAGACAATAATACGTGCACCTAATTATATTCAATAAAATCGCTAATCCTAAACCTAATTTTTAATTATCATTATAATTATTTTTTTTTTGTTTTTTTCAAATTTACTTTTTTTTTTTTTCTCAATGGCCGCAGAATTTCCGCGCAATCCGAATAAACGTAATCGTTGCGTTTCGGCAATTCTAATTATACACGCGCGTTATAAAAAAAAAAAAATAATACGAATAAATATTATTACAATCACGAGGGTCGCGAGCAACAGAACACTGTTCATCAATCGGTCGAAAAAAGAAAAAAGAAAAAAAAGAGAACCGTAACGATCGAAAAGATTTTTAGGAAGACGTCGTTGTCACCGCAGTGGCGCGATAATATTACAGCGCGCGATAATAATAAGATATATTATTATTGTCCCGGTTAAACCGCTTTTATTCGATATATATGGTAAATAGGTACGACGGCCAATCTGTGATAACCTGCCAGGTGCGTCGGGCGCCTCTGCGGGCGGGGAAACTCGGACTGCAGTTCTACATCCTTCTCTGAAACGGCAGAAAATCGAAAATCCGCGGGAGAAACGAGTGTTCCCCCTCGGCGATGTCACACACACTACAAACCCAGGGATATAATATTTTCCATCGAGTTCCGACACGAGCGAACGAAAGTTTGACGGTTTTTCGAGGTTAAGCTCGGAGATTGTCGCTGCTCGTCGGGCGTACAGATGACGGTCCCAGTTCTCCACCGCCGGCAGCAATTTCATCAGTTAAATAATATATACACGATCCCGGAATCCCGCGATACAGAAAATTTCGACTGCCGGCCGAGTATTTTTTTCCCCCGTAATAAAGGAACGACGGGATGTGACCTGAGATTTTTCTCGGATGGCGAGAAACTGAGGCTTTTTTTTTCCTTTTCACGGCACGAATCGTTTGCGTTTCGTTCTTTTGAGATTCAAATTTTAACACGGTAATTCGGAAAAAAAAATATGATAATTTCGAATATTACGATTATAGCGAAGAATAGATTGATCGACAATTATTTGGGAAAACGGGTATATTAATCGCGGAAGCGCTAGGAGCGCGCGTACTACAATATCAATTTCGATAATGTTTTTGTACGTCCTGTCCGTTGTTTAATTTATCGACTTCGGTTCGCAACTAAAACGGGTTAGTGTCGCGATAATACCGTCGTACCTGTACGGTTAAACCATAAATATTAATTAGTCACGAGATTTGAGCCGACTGACCTACACGACCGATAGAATCCGATTCGAAATCTGAAGGTTTTATTGGCAAAGAAAAAATAAAAAGGATTAAATCATCCCGAAACGTATTTTATACTACGTAATATTATAAAATAATATTTCAGTACATTTCGAGCGTACAAATTATACCGTTAAAATTTAGGTACACAATTCTAGCATGTTACGTATATAGTTATTACTTTGTAAATGTTTGAATTTTTTTTTCTTTGTACGAGTATACCGAAGTTTCATAGATAAACGTTTAAACGTAATACTCTAGATACTATAGTTAAGCTCGAAACACTTGGAAAAGAAAAAAAAACCATTGTACTTTGGGTTTCGTTTACATGCAAATAAATTAATACGAATTAATAAAAAAAATGTTGGTAAATTTTTACCAAGAGATATGATGAAAAAGTAAAAAAAAAAAAAAAGGCCCTCCCCCAGTAATGTATGAAAGCATTTTACGAAAGCTTAACCAAATCTATCAACTAGATAATATTATATTACTTTTTTTTTTCTTTTTTTTTTGAATAGAAAATAAATCACGTTCATATGAATTATAATGTTATCCTATCTCGATACTCAGCCTTTAAAAAATATGTAAAAAAAAAAAAAAAAATGATAATAATCTATAATAATAAATGAATGTAAAATTTTCCTAAAGGATTGTTTTTTTTTTTTGGTAATTTTTGTTACGTAAAAAACCTTATCGAAATCGATGATACGATAATTTTACACACCGTCTTCGGATAATAAAATCACAGCCTGCTAATATAATACACTTATTCAAAACTATTTAAATTTTTTTTTAATTTTTCTTTTTTAATAAAATACCCTAATTAAATATTTGTACGTTATTTTTTGTATTGATTTTTTTTGCATGCATTTTTTTTTTTTTTTTTTTTTTTGTGGAATTGGAATACCCGTAAACGTTATAATATAATATTGTAATTCAATTTTTATCAGCGAAAAAAAAATTGCGATTATTTCTTACATACCTACTCGGTTATAACTATAGAATAATAATAATAAAAAAAACAAAATTAAACGTTAAATTAAAATTGATAAGACGCGTTTAATCGATAATAATAATAATTACAATTGTCACAAAAAGTGTACATAGGAAAACGACGTCGGATAACAACCGTCAAGCGATGACTATTATTATTATTATAACCGAATGGTATTTTTAGTAGACCTAGTAGACAATCCATCGAACGTAAAATACAAAAAAAAACCTCAAAATAAGATTTATTTTACCTTTTTGAGTTCGTCATTAATTTGAGCAAATATTTTCCTGAATACATACCTATATATGTATTATTGAATATTACCCAACAGTCAAAATCCAAAACGGACCGCCTAAAAGGCTCCCCCAACTATAGGTACATACCTATAAAATAATTATCGCGTGATAAATAAATAAATAAAAAATCGTTTTGCTTATCGCGTGCTGCGTTTTTATTGCCGCGTAATATCGAAAATAAAAAAAACCCGTAAAAGTCCATTGTCAAAATAGACTTTTAGTAAAAAAAAAAAAAATAATAATAATATCGTTGCGAAAAAAAAAAATCACGAAACCTATCGTCTAATACATCTAACATTATTAAAAAAAACTAGGGGCACGTTGGCGAATGCCGTGCGATCGTATAATATAAAAGAAACCCCTTAAAACCACACTCTCCCCCTCCCATTAAATGCGAAAAAAATCGTTTTTTCTAAAAATATAACATTATGTGTAAAATACCCTCTACTGTCGTTATAGATAAGTTTTTTCTTCTTCCGTTTTTTGTTTACGTTATTATTGCTTGTTGTACAATACACTACTGGTAAATTAATGTTACGCTTACAGCTATTATCTTAATAATAATTAATAATTAATAATAATAATAATAATAATGTAGGCATGGCTTATAGTTAATAATAATATTGCGTTTGTCTTATACACTACGGTATATTATCATTAATGATAATTTTAATATTACACGTATAGCCTATAGAAATAGTTCGAAAAAAAATACTTATAACCTTACTATAATAATAAATTTAAAATCTAAATATAATATAATGTGTGTGCTTGTGTGTGTACAGTGTGTGTGTGTGTGTGTGTGTGTATATTTTGGTGTCATAGTTGTCTGTTCCATGTCTTTTGAGAGATTAAAATAATACAATACAAGTATACTATACTATTTTTGCTTATTGATAATAACATAGAGAAGCGTTACTTTCGTTTTTGTTTTACGTTCGCGATACGGCGACGCCGAAACGATAATAATTGCATGATTATCGCGCGCGTCCTGACGTCCCGTCCACAAGTGGCTGCGCAGTTGTTGTCATTAGTTGGCTGCGGCGGCGGCGGCGGCTGAGGCGAATCGTATGACTGACGTCCGCCGGGGCTGCTGCGACCGCTGCGCCGCCTGACGTTATTCGTCGACGGTCGCGATCGCCGCCGACGAGGTCACGGTGGACGGGGCCAAAACGGCCGCCGGCGCGCAACCGGCTTCCAGGTGCTTGTTCAGGTACGACTTGAGGGCGAACGACTTGTGGCACCATTGGCACACGAAGTTCTTGTCGCTCGAGTGGGTCATCATGTGCGCGCGCAGGTTGGACCGGTCGGCGAACGCCTTGCCGCACTGGGAGCACGCGTACGGTTTCTCGCCGGTGTGCGACCTCAGGTGGCCCTGGAGCAGCCACGGCCGGCTGAACATCTTGCCGCACACGCCGCACGCGTGCGACAGCTTGTGCGTGAGCAGGTGCATGGCCAGGGCGGGCATGCTGACGTACGCCTTGCCGCACACGTTGCACCGCTTGGCCGACTGCGAGTCCAGGCTCCGGTGCGTCTGCTTGTGCCGGGAAAGGTTCGACGACGTCGCGTAGTGCTTGCCGCAGTCCGAGCACGTGTATCGGGCTGTCGTACAAAACAAAAAAAAAAAACGGCAAACATTAATAAAACGGTGCGGCCCGGTTGGCGTCATAGTGCACGGGGCGTGGGCGTAGTCCCTAGTAAGGGGTACCGAAGAGAAAATATTGCGAGGGTGCGGGGCAGAGAGGGGTGGTCAGGACCGGTGGCGCCGAACTCGGGGTACGGATCGGGGACACCGGTTTGTTTTGCCGGTGGGCGGGCGGGCGGTGCTAGCGACGGGAAATATAAATCGTACACAATATGAGTAAGTGTTTGCAGAAAATCTAACCATAATGAACAGAGTACTCTACGAGTGATTTGATATGTGCGTTACGCTCGAAGCGGACCGGTAAAATAGTTGTTTGCCCGAGTGTTTTTTTTTTAACTATTACGGTGCCACCGGTCGGGACACGTGACGGGGCAGAGGCCGTACGCGATGCAGTTTTACGAACAAAAGGCGACGGCGAAGACACCGAAATGGAGAAACGGTCGAACACGGTGTCGCGTCCACTGATCGGATGGCGCTGTCGGTGTCTACGCAGTGCCGCGCGACTCGAAAACACTAACGAAATACAATAAGAAAATATAAAAACGCGTAACTCGTATTTCGTATCGTTTTTTTTTTTTTTTTTTTTTTTATTTAGATTCCGAGCGAATTGATCGTATATCAATATTATGTACTATACGGTTAACGGTTTTTGTTTGGATTCATCGCAATTACTTTTTAATTATAAGGATTTTAATGATACCGATTTCAACGCTCTGTGGGGGAGAGTGGCTGCGTTAAGTTGCCCGGCCGTTTTCATTTATCGCCATCACGAAAATAACGACTTACGAATTTCAAAATCGAATTTGCAATTATTTTTCTAATTTATTACTATTATAGTTTTATTCGATTCCTTATAATATCCTTCCATGTTGGAATAATTTGACCAGACCGTCAGAGTCCATTGAATACGGACTTGCTATTGCACGGAAATAATGCAGTGACATTAATAAATTGTTCTAATAATTTACATTCACAAACGAACCGTAAATAGAAGATAATAAATATTACAATACTATCGAAATTTATATTTTATTAACATTAGAGTACATTAAATTGCTAAACAAAATCGAATACTAAAAAGAGCCGTACTGGTCGAAGGGTGGGTTTGTAAATTGTTTGATTATATTTGCTTTTTACGGTGGACTCGAAAAGCATACATCTCGAACCTTTGGGTTAAGGAATCGGGCCTCGGGAAGTTTGCTTGTATTCTTTATTGGTATCGTCATTTTAGAGATAATTACTTGCTATTGGCATTATAGTTTTATCGATTTATGATAAAGTGGCCGCGATAAGGACAATTTCGTGGTGATATTATGGTTTCACGAGGTAAACAAAAATTTCGATTAAATATAATTTGAAATATTCTGATTTAAACTTAAAAAAGCCTATAGAAAAAATATACTATATAACGCTAAACTGCTTCCTCTTTTTTTGGAAAACTAAGTTAAACATATAATGAACCCCGTATACAATTTTATGCTTGGCTAAAACCATTTCAAAACCAAATAATGTAATAATAATTAGTATTCTACAAGAAATTATTACAACAAAAACACAAAATCGATAATAATGAAGCCGTCAATATAGAGCCGTCAATTTTCTCATTTTTTCAACGTTTTTTCCGAGTTATTCATGATAGTAATAACGATATTCTCATTGTTGTTCTCAGAATAAAAAAAAAAAATTAGCCACAATAATAGTATGAGCTTTGTAAATAATCGATTATTTTACAGAACTGACCTTACCGACATTAGACCTTACAGCTTTCGATTCGGTACACACAATTTGGTCGAAATAAATAATAACACTATTTACAGTCAAACAGATTGGTGGGCGGGGTGATGAGGGAGAGGAGAATCGTCGACTTGGTCAACTTATATTCGGTTTTTATCGTTTTCCGATAAGTTGGCGAGTGTATAACGTCACAGCCATAGTATTATTAGTTTTATATGTTATGATATTATAGTCTTCGAGAGATTTATCGTTTTTCGAAAAATCGTCGACGTAGGTATATTATATATATAACGCTGCTTATATACGGACATAATAATATTTTCTTGCGATATTTGACCGGACGAAAAAATAAATAACCGCCGTGCACGATTTATGGGCCGGTCCGGGTCTCCCTTGCACACACGTCGTACAAATAACAGTAGTAAGCACACAATACGAATAATATTATAATATTGTACGAGTCGTATAATATTACGTAGTTAGGTCAAAAACGCCAGAGCTTACTCTGGCTTTACTTATAAAGCCCAGTTCGTACTGCGGCCGTCAAATATTCTCCCGCATATCCTATACATCACGTTGGATAAATGCGCGCCCTTCGAACAAACCTGCCATAACTCAACATTTGGCACTTTTCGGTTCGGTATACCATCGGTGTCGCACCCGTTTTTTCTACAAAATTTTAAACCGCCACTAATGGTATCGCGGTCAAATTCAAGGTCACGGATTTATCTCTGTTTTTAGAAAACTGACGGGAAATTCACACATGTCAAGTATTTCGGTGTATTACGTTGTGTTAAATCGTATTCCTAAAAAAAATCGAAATAGCCATAATTTTGTTCGCGGTGGTTAACAGTTTTGTTTATGTGGCATTATGATGAAATGTCACGAAAACTGCTATATTAGGTCTTACTTTTAATGTATACATATTTTTAAATTGCAATGTAAAACTGCACTAAATCAAAATTCGGTAGTATTGTATGATGAAACGTAGTTGAAAGCTAAATTCTGTGATTAAACGTTCGTGTTATTATCGCAAAGTATTTTTCTTTAAAGTGCATTAAAGAATGTTAAATACAATGTTTGTATCACTGAAATATCTTAAAAAGATGCGGATATACTTCGCACGATAATTGAGCCACTGTTGTAGGTAAAAAGTTGGAAAGGTAGATGGTAAATTTAACGCGTATCTGCACACAGCGATTAACCGTTGCTAGCGAAAAACGATTCTGAGCGGAGTCCGGTTAATAGTGTTGCTTTGTCAATAATATGTATACCATATTGTGGTAAAATAATTATATAATATGCAATATATATGTTCGTTAATAATATTTGTTTAATATTGTACTTGTTTTTCCATTTTTCTGGTTTTTCCAATCGATTAGGAAAACTAGGGAAATCAAAAATAACCTCTCTAAGGTACCACCTCAGTTAGATTTCCTTTCAGAAAAACTGCTATAATTTAAAATCAGAGCAAAATTGCTGGTAGAAAAGCTTTTTACAGATAAAAAAAAATAATAATATAAAAATAAATAAACGTCATTCTAAAACATTCTTAAATTCTAATACAATCTTAAATTATATAATTGGTTCAAATTTGAAATTTAAAATAATTTTTTTCAAAACGAAAAATTCGAAGAAAAGTGGGTTTTTTTTAAAAGTTTCTAACGGTTAGCATACTTTCAAAATATTGTATTTAAAAACCAAATATTTGCCTAATATTTAAAATTCGGTGTCGGCATTGGCAGATATAAGGGAGACTTAGGAGAGGTTAGGTCTCCAAGAAAATTGTTAAGCCACAGAAAGTTTTGTCCCTCCGCGCGCGAAAATTCCTAATTAATTTTATCGATATTTTTCAAAATATACGGAGTTTTAAGTTTTTTAATCAATTGTCAATCACGATGACACAACACTGACAACATATATAGAAAGATAGCTTTATTGTTGAATTTTAAAATTAATCGTACATAGGTAATATTATTATCTATGCATATTATATTTTTGGCACCGCAGATGACTACACGAATTTCAGCAGTAGATTGAAGTGTCAATCATGAATGACTTTGTTTATGGGTACGGTAAAATCGGTACTAAATGCCGAGACCCCTCCACCACAGCTGATGTGATGATCAATTAATTCAACATCCGTCTTTGATGTCGATCGGTGATCGGACGGATTTTTCACTGTCGTCACAACGTGTGTACCGCGGCGTAAATTCAAACCGCTCAAAACGAAAACGATTTTAAAACCGAGTTTGTCTTAAAATTTGTTTGTTTTTGAAAAGCGATCGTCCGGAAATTTCGAAAATGTACGACGTTTCAGCAATCGCGTAAAAATAATTCTATAAAACCCGACCTCCCCCTACCCCACCGCCATGAAATTCGCTATTGACGCGATGAGGTTTTAGGAATTGCCCGGGTCCGACATATTCGCGTCATAAAATATTCGACCGTAAATTATACTAACCGAGGGCCGTTCAAACAGTAATACGTTTCCGATTTATAGAATTTTGCCGAAACGGAATTGTTACGACGTCTCGGCGTCATCGCACCGAAAACACGCACAACCGACCGGCTGGTTAGGTACATACAGGCCGTACGGCTGCGAGATTCGGGGCGGTTTCCCGTGAGCAATTATGCGCGTAGCGTATCGTCGAATCCGGCACTTGCATTAAATTTCATTCGCTCTGTATACACTATACATATACGGAGTGGTCGTCCCGGGCGGATATATACGTATAAATGTAAACTGAAAATACGATATATTATTATTACGACCGTTTTTAATCCGACTTTCGACGGATACGCGTACGCGCGCGTATACGTGAAACGTTAAAACCGATAATAAACGGAGCATATACACACGATATTATACGCGTTTCGCGGAGACGATTAAACGATTCCGTTTTATTTTGCGCGTCTTAAATGTGCGCGGCCAAGAGGAGACACTATACCGTATACAGCGCGCGGTGATTAATTTCCCCGTAAAGTAAAAATTGTTATTCTCCGACTCGAAACCCGGGGAAACTCGCATTTTTACGCACCGGCATTTGGTATGCGAAAACGAGCCCGACACAAAAACCGTTTTACGCGAACGCGTATAGTCGGGTCCACGGGCGTTATTTTATTCGCGAACCTCCGCATGTGGGTATGTAAGCATTTTACATTAATTAACCTTAAAACTAATAACCGAAATGATAATATATTAATAACCGTTGGCAAAAACAATATTTCTAAGTTTAGTTAACTGATCGACAGCATGCGTTTCGAGCGTTACACGTAGATCAAGAACTTTCCGGACTGTTTTGCGCGTATAGTCGGTACAGACAAATGGAATATCGAATAGCGTTTTGTGTCTTGAATTGAATGACGGGTCTTTGAATTTTAAACGTAGGAAATAATCCGGACGGTCAGTTCGCCCTCTGAGAAGTTCGGTTATAAACACTAGGTCTAAAAATTACGAAAAAGTATATGAAATATATATTGTAATGTATTATCATTGAAATCGTACGGAAACGTATTGTGTTCGGATTTCATTACCGGGGCCGGATCGTGCCGGCGAGTTACCGAACAAAACTCGGTGGCCCGCGATAATTCTATGCCGATATTACACTAATGGGCGGATATAATATGCGATATGACTCAAAAGACGAAAAGCTGTTCGGTAAAATAATAAAATCAAAACAACAGTTGAAACGTAATACAAAATGGAATATATTAACTGGAATATTAATAATTACGATGTTCGCGATACTATTCACAATAAACGTGATCAATAGTTTGAGCTACGCTTGGTCTTCTATACATATTATTAGTACAAATTCAGTGTCGGGGTAACAGAACAATTGACCAATAAGCACAAAAAAAATAATAAATTTGCCTGTAAATAAGACCTGTCCGTCGGCGTTCACACATCATACGTGTATTTTAAAAATATTCAATCGCGGTACTTTTAAAACGTCCATTTGAGACCCGTAGAGTATTTGAATATACAAATATTCGAATAAATTCTATTAGTAACTTTCTGGAGTTTTATTCAGAATTCGTCAGTTTCAGTGTTTGCTACAGGCAATTTTCAAAATTTAATTTGAATGCCATCTATTTTCATTTTACAAATAAACATATTATGGTGAATTCTGGGTAAAATTTCTGAATTTTCCGAGACTTTGTCGGTGCCAACTTGATAAATATTTATGTATACCGTTGAATTCAGCACCCTCGTTTTTTCCTAGCAAAATAAATTACCCAGCATAAAAACCCGAAAATACACATTCTTTTTTTTCGGGTCAACGACGGTATTGTAAAATATTATAATAACGTGTATATTTATGATGGTTTTCGTCTATTTTCGTGTTGTTAAGCGATTTGGCGACATTCCACCGAAACTATAACTGCACCTTTATATTGTACAATATAACTTATTTCCTTTCATCTGAGACGCAAAATATGTTTTGAAAAGACGTTCATTTGGAGTACCATAAATGATACACAGGGTGATTTATGCAGTTATAACTGCGTAATATCGAAATTGAAGCAACGTAAAAGTGTAGTAAACTTCATATTCATTTTAGATAATAAATCGATAACCTTTTTCTATTGTTCCTCCAGCCTAAACTTTAAACTGGTATGACTCGTAAATCCGATATTTACGGGTAAAAATCAAAAGTAGTCTTAAAATAAACTTTAACAGTTCCACAATGATAAAATTAAAAAAAATCACCTTAAATCCTACGAGAATATCTCTGGTTTATAGTAAATTATATTGGTAATATTATATGTTTTAAAGTGTATACATGTATATTAGTTTGTTGATATTTTTTTTTGTTCGCCTAAGTTGAGTTAACTCCGAAAATGACGAGAACAACAAAACAAAAAAAAAAAAACACCCCGTAATTTAGATCATTGGTCGGCTGATTTGTGAATGCATGCAATTTATAATAAATAATACGCATGCAACGTTGGTGGTGAATAATGCTGTGCGGAAAAAACGCATAATCAGATTGAATAATATAATTTTCTCGCGTAAATTACATTAAAACAAAACGAAGTTATACGGAAAAATCGAAAATATATAACGAAACCTCTGCGTGGATAAGAAAATTAATGTGGCGTAAAAAAAAAAGAAAAAAAGAAAAAAAAAGGAAGATTTCGCAATGAAAGTGCGTATATATTATTATGGTTATTACGTAAGCTCATCATATTATTATATACGTGTGCGGAAAGACTGAACCGTGGAAATAAACTGCTGTAGAGCAAAGGGTAACAATTATTAAGATGGAAAAAAAAGCTCAGAACGACCGTAATAGGCAGTTGCAGCGATTCAAAGGGATCAAAAAAAGAAAGAAAAAAGAAACCAAAAGCTCATCTCTTTGTTGCGAAACGGCAACAGCGAGTTAGTTATCGGTAATTGCTACAGAAGGTAAGAAAACGCGATTAAAGAACTCGACACGGCAACGGCGGAGCAATTGAACCGGAAGGAAATAATCATATTTATTTACATGATAAAATACGGCCGTCCTTTTTTTTTTTTTTTGGATTTTTCTATTTTTTGTTTGGCAGTTTGTGATAGTTAATGTTGAAACCAGTATCGAACACTAGTGGAAAACCGAAATCGAAATCAACATTCAAAAGAAAATAAGGTAAAATGATATTAAATAATAATTTACTGAAATTAATAACCAAAAATACAATTAAGAACGTTAATAAAATCAAAAACAAAACAGAAATTGTTTATCGGGTTTGAAGCCGTGCAGTTTTAATATTATAACCGAGTAAAAAAACCGTCTTTGTATTTACAACCGACGATTATAATTATTATAGTGAAAACTCTTTGTAACAAATATTTAGAGACCAAGAGATTTCTTTTGTTATAGAGAGTTTTCGCAATTAAGAAGGTTAAAAAATGTATGCGTGGGCGATAAAGCAAATTAACCATTATTAACTAATGTCTACGTTACATACAGTTATTCGTTGAACAGAGTATCGTTAGAAAGAGTTTTTACCGTTTTAAACGTTATTATTTCACAGCCCCAAGAAAGTGCATTTAAAATATGAATCAGTTCATGGACCATGAACCTGAACAAATATCAAATACATTTAGATTTTTGATCTGCATACAAAAAAAAGCGGAAAAACTATATGTTTCAATTCGTAGACGAAAATTTCGATTTTCCACATTAATAATATGGCTTGCGGATGAAAACTAATAGTTCTCACGTATAATATCGCATGGATTTGAGTTCATTTGTTTTCGTTTATAGACTTCCGTCAACAACGCAATATTATAATTGGTTTTTACTCTTAGTTTGTCTAGCTTCTAGAATCTAGCTGGTTTCCGCATAATTTTTATAAAATTTCGCGTTTAGGAGAGTGAAATTATTATGTATTTATATTGCGATATTACCGCTATCAATATAATAATATTATTGCATACGGTGGACAATGGTATTTTCTAAAACCGAGATTTTCGTTTCGACGCCGTATTTTCATAAGAAACTGCCGCAGTGGAACACTGGAAATAAACTTAATTTAACGGGTTTATTTAATTATTAATTCGTCAATAACCATCTATACGCGCTATGTACAAAGGACACTACAGGCCTTTGAAATAAGAGAATGCAAATTTAAAAATAAACGTTTTCGTTTAGACAATAATATTATTACTGGAATAGCTCACCCGGATGGATTGCTTGAAACTTTATCTATACGAAACACAACGCTGCTTACAACAGTTGTAAGTCACTATAGCTGCTATTGAACTCGAGTCGGAAATACCTGTTATATAATACCGTGTATTGTGCGTTGTGTCTGCACACAACGTAGAAAACGGTCGATATGACTCGCGGAACAATATAACATCGTGCCTAACCTAACCTATATCTAATAATATAATAACGACCAAAGATATTATAAGCGCGCGGGTATATCATGACGGTGGTGTATTACACGCGGTGGCGTAAAACGTTATGTCGATTGATAATCGATTACGGAAGTTCGTGTTCGTCTTCGGGTTACAAACGGAAAGATAGCGAGACAAGGGAGGTGGCGGCGAATGAGAGATAGAAATGCGAGTGCCGTGGCGGGGCGGGGGGGGGNGGTGGGGCGTGGCGGGGCGGGCGGGTGGCCGGCGGAGAGATAACGTAATAAAAATAATAATAATAACGCACAATCCCGATCGGAAACAATATCATGTACACTGTACATGTATAATAATGTATAATATAATATAAGGCGTTTCCGAAACGTTCGTGACTGCGAGCCACGCAAGTTTATGGTTTCCAAACGACCGTCGTAAATATCGTGACAGAGCCCATCTCCGTGTAAACCGCCTCGTGTACCTAATATATTATTATTATTATTATTATTATTATTATTATTATTATTATTGTAATCTACAGAGGATCGTAAGCGCGCGGTTTAAATGTAAAGTGTATAATATTTCAAATCGGAAATGTTCGTCGTTTCGGCGGAATCTCTCATCTCGAATAAATCGAACGGTTTTTTTTTTCGCAACAGCCGCGAGCGTGGCAGACTCAACCGTATCGCGTGCGATCCATTTATCGTTAAGTATTTAAGACCAATTCGATTTCAGTTTTTATACGTTTCGATCATTATATGAAATAGTTTAAACATTATTCTGACGCCATTTTCAAATGTTTACCCCTATGCCTCGTATGCTTTAAATAAGTATGTACTTTAGATTTTAAAACGAGAATCTCCTCCCCCTTTTAAACATAAATTCAAATAGAAAATATTTTTCTAAAAATGTTGATACGCACACCGCTTGTATTATATTGGATTTATCGTTTACGAGTTATGACGGTCCAAATTTAGATAGGAGTATTACAGGAAATGTTATAACTGTAGTAATATTTAACATTTAAAAATGGTTATACAGTTGGTTATTCCAAAATTGTGTAGTCATTTAAAGTATAAGAAGTCGGATTGAACATTTGGGAACAGTGTTAAAATATAGCTTAAACGATTGAAACAACACACTTCAAATTAATTTAAATTGCTGGTACATGATAAATGGATCACTCCGTATTTGTTCAAGCTTTTAATCGAATATCGTTGTCCTTGTGTGAATGTTTTAATAGTACATTGACCTACAGTGATACTATCGGACGAACGGGAAAATATAATTATAACATTATTTTAAAAGTGAGCCATATTGCAAGCCATATTAATGTTTACAATGATATTTCCAAAGAAATATTCTCTCTCTATAAACCAAAAAATAAAGTCTTTCGATTTTTCGTACAGATCAAAAATCTCAAAAAAAAAAAAAAAAAAAATCGATATTTATTCAAGGTACACTGCATCGAAAATAATATTCTGTTAAAAAAAAATGAATATACATGCGCATGTTAAACGATGTTGACTGGAGAAAATATCGATCAACATATTTTTAAATGATTTTCTGATATAAAGGTAAAAAAAAAAAACCTATTTATATTTTTGAATATGTTTGTGTATAATACTGTTTATTATTAAAATAGTAAGAATTGGAACTTCGAATTAATGTAAACGATGTTAAAAAAATCAAAAAAAATCGAATAATTGTATTGTGAATTGTTTCGTGAATAAACCTAACTTCAACTATCTATTAAATCCCCTGAAGCAACTGTTTGATGAGACGCGGTCATCTAGAAAACGGATTTGCATGCGGTTTTCAGTGTTACGATTTGCAGTCTCGAGGAACGTCTGTGCGTATTAGAAATCGTATCTGATTTAAAATCTGAAAATCGTAAAATCTATCACTTATAGAACCTGAGAATATTAATGGTATTAGTAAACCGAGTCGGGGAAAATTTAATTTGGTTCATTTCTAAGTACCTAACCACTGTTTATCAAAGACAAGGAATTAATTTGGTCATGGGAAAACAATGAAAATTGAAATACGAGTATTACTCGGTCGTTCGTGTTGATATTGTTATTTAAACAAAAATATTATTACGACACGGTTTTTGTTCGGTCAAGATTATAAGGGGGAGGTTTTTTTTTAACACGTTATCGTTGTTCGGTGACATAATTGTTTATAACTACAAAGTAAGACTTCAAAGAAGCGGAATCCGTGAATGCTTTTGACCGGTGGGCGGAAAGATCCGCTGTACAAGAAAATGAGAGGAGTTTTATGTAAAAAAAAATAAAATAAAATATAGGACGTGAGAAAGCTTTTATGTACCACCTACGGGTATAAACCGTCTTTGAGAAGAACAAAAATTAAATATTAAAATCGCTACTAGGCATGAAAACGGGATATCTAAACGTGCATTTTTATATTATGTAATTATGCATCACTATAAAATTCTCGTACATTAGTGCACATCATTATAGATGTAAAACAGTAATAGAAAGCATTTGTAAGGCACAACAAATATTAAAACAAATTTAATTCAAATTACATATGGGTGATGAGTCTTCTGCAATATTCAATCTAATGATTGGTTTGCAGCAACTTCCATTTTTCTCTATCACTAGCCTTCTTCTTCAACTATTGGTATGAAATACATTGCAATTAATTATGTATTGCAATCCTGGTCTTCATTTATTTTTTCCATCGATTATTCCTTCTAAGATTTATCATAGCAGCCCATTATCTATTAAAATATGACCTATTAATTCATTTCGCCTTTTCAGTATACTCTTTTATATTGATTTCCTCTCAGATACCCTTTCTAATACTTCTTCATTTGTAATTCTATTAGCCAAACTTATCTTTTCTATCCTCTTGTAGCACCACATTTCGAATGCTTCTATTATTCTTATTTCTTCTCTTGCAATAGTCCATGTTTCCATATAACATAATGTTCCGTATATACGTTATTAGTAGATTTTTTCTGATGTTAAGGTCAATGGTTTTTGAAGTAAAAAGACTTCGTTTCTTATTAAACACCACCTTAGCTTGGCATATTCATTTATGATTTTCTTTTTGTATCTCCATCTGAGCTTATAGAACTACCCGAATATATATATATAAATCTTCTACTTGTTCTGTAGTTTCATCATCCTTTAATTTTATTCTTATGTTATTGTCTCTAATACATACTAAGACTTTTTTTTCCATTACCTATTTCAATATTCCTAAAATCTTTTTTAGATCTTTTTCATTCTCCGCTATTATTGCAATGTCGACTGTGAATCTCAGCATGTCTATTCTGTAACCATTTACCTTTATTCCTGGATGTGTTCTATATCTTATAGTATCTATGTCCTTTTGAATATAAGCATTAAATATTAAAGGTGATAATGTACATCGCTATCTAATGCTTTTCTTTATTTAGGACAAATTTTGAATATCTCCCATTTTTATGATTGCTATTTCATTTTTAGATGATGAGTATAAACAAATAATATAAAAATACGTTTTTGCAAAACTCAAATTTTTCCGCCTTCATTTTTCAAATCCATACAGTCGTATTTATCCAAAGGATTTTAAAACGGTGCTATAAGAAATATTTCACACCAGGCACTGCGCGTTTTAAATTTACAAATTTCATTTAAACGATCGTTTTACGTACAGATCGATAAATTTAAAGGTCCTTTACGCAACATTCGTATTTTTTTTTTCCTATTATCCGGCGTCTTGGACATTACTTTTCTGTAAAGGCGTACATAGCTGTTTATATATGAAAAGGTACCAGATGCGTTCATAATATCTGTGTACAAAGTCGCTAAACTTTTCAAACGTGCATTTACTGCCCGAACAAATGTTTTCGGGAGGTTGGGACACTAATATCGTAAAACTAATATAGCTCGTATCGTTCGCAATCTAAAAAAAAAAACTCATACTAGATATATTAAAGACGAGAGAAAAAAATCTCAACGGTTCGTTATTAATATTTCAAACAACACGTCGTAATATCGTGGCAAAACGATTATAATCCATATTATTTTTCGAGGACAACAGTTTATTTTTTCAAAAAAAAAATTGTGTCACGTGATATTATTAACGAAATATAACAAGTTGACATGAAAAATTGTTATTTCACTGAGTAATTTATTTTAAGTTAGTAGAGAAAATGTTGCGTGGATAATCGAGACAGATAAATGACTGTATTAGAAACATAAGAAAGTCCTTAGAAAACAGAAAAAAAAAAATATCAAGAAAAAGAATTTGTACGAGATTATATTGATAAATATGATTGATTGATACTATTTTATAGCTGATAGGTCATCACGTATTAATTTAATATTACTGCAAAGTACATGATAATCAGGTAAATAATGCACTTTTTGTTATACACTGAAATTGGCCGGAATAAATATATATACATCCATTTTCAGGTGGTATTTTTTACGCGAAAGTACAAATAACGTGTCGATTGTGTTTTTTTATCAGACTTTATTTCGTTTCTAATATATAAAGAAACCAAATTAATTTAATTTCCAAAGAGTATCTATATAACTTGTATGTATATATTTACTAATACTTTTTCAACAATACGAGTTTTAGATTTCGAGTGTGTGGATCGAAGAATACGTTATATTGCTTTCACAACGATGTTTACACAATATTTTTGTTGTGTCCTTGAATACTTTTAGAGTATGTAAACACTGATTTTTTTCGCGTGTATTGCCTAAAAAAATATGTACATAATATTGTCCACTACAAAATGGCCAGCACTCGAATTGATAAAAATAAAAAATAATACAAAGCCCTCGACTTTTTTCGAGAATCGGAGAACTTCATTAAAAACCGTACGAAAAGTACACGACATTTCGGTAAAGTTTTTAATTTTAAAAATAACGAGTATATATGGTTGATTATTTTTTTCTGAGCTACATTAAAGAAATACAGATATTTTGATAATCTCGATTGTCAATAAACTCCCTTTAGTTACGAAAATTGTAATTATTATGCAGAATATTTAACTGATTTTAATTTATTTAAATTTAGAAACTGAGTTACATTGTATATACCAGTTTATTAGTGAATACATCACTTGTTTTGATAACGACACGATTTTGCGAAACAAAATGTCGGATTCAAAGAAATTCAATTATTACTATATTCGGGCGTGTGCACTAGAACGAAAACCAATTATTATGTTATAATCAACAGTGTGAATTAAACAATGGACAGACGACAATATAATAACAATAATAATGAAAACTGGATTATTGTGGAATCGTATAAATCGCTGTGGCGAATTGAATTTTGTTTGTACAGGTAATGCAATATAAAAACCATTTGTGCAACATTAATACGATATTTTATTGTAACAATAGTAACAATGATAATAATGATAATGAACAGCTTGTTGAAATTCCGAAACCGAGGTCGTTTGCGCCGTATGTGCGCATAGGGTGTTCAGAGTTTGGCAAAAGCAACGTTATATACCTACGCTTATTACCATCTGCTGAAATCGAAAGCAGTCTATAATATGTATTTCATCCGGTTTGGAATTTCAAATGGTCTCAGCCAGTGGTTGTATGTGGGAAAAACTTCAAGGGGAGGGGTACTACAGTATATTTATCGCAAATTGAGAGACGTTTTCGATAACTAACTTAACTCAATCAAACTTTCAGAAAACTCATTATCGGAACAAGACTTTTAAAATGTTATTCTCCCACCCACATTTTGTTTATTTTTCAAGTTTTGATTAAATGATTTCAAAAAACTACACCCTCTCCCTCTTTGAAAAATTGTTCATCGCATATGCTTGCTCAGTAAATATAAAGTAAAATAGAGTTTGGTTATGCGTAGTTTAACAGGTATTAAAACATTTATTTTTAATAGAACCGATTCGAGTTGAATTTTATTGAAATACCTCGCTGACAATAACTTAACTTCGAAGACTTCAATATTAAAATGGACAGATCGATTTATCTTATTTATAAAGAGAGGCTCAAACTCCTCATCTCATTCTACCCCACTCTAACCATTTGGTCTAATCACTTTAGTGGTGGTTCAAATATTGATGTAATGTTTATGCGACAATGACGACGTGTTTTATTAACCTTGAACTGTAAATTCTAAGACGGGACTCTCGGATCACTAGACCTAGGAGTAACTCGCATTGGAATAATAGTTTTGATAAATTTCGGATTGTTTTTAATACTGTGACGATAGACTGATTGGTAATATGATTTGTTGTTATTAATGTATATTATAAAAACTATTGCGATATCTAGTCGTGTAACGACAATAATAGGATATTACGTTAAGAGAACGTTGTACTCGTATCTACTGTTTCGGTCAAACTACCGGATAACATGCAAAAACAATACTTACACAGAATAAGTAAAACTAGCTTAATTTGGATTTTAGAGTAAAAGTATTCGATATGAAATTCATAGAAGACAATACTCCGGAGGGAATGTCATAGGAATTTTGTATTATTCAAAATATACGGCTCGATATAAAAGATACAAAACACTTTTTTCTCCGTTTTTTATGTAACTGTAACTTTGTCAACAGTTTATAATACAAACAACACCTACGGCATTCCCTCCGAAATATTATTTTCCATACATTTTATAACGAGTAATTTTACTCTAAAATCCAAATTAAGCTAGTGTTGCCAGCGTAGGCGTAAGCGTTGTTTTCGCACGTCACCCCGTAGTCGGACCGAGACAGTACAGACGCGGGTTAAGAGATGGTAATGCCTCAATTGTCGGGTGGGGGGGGGGCGGGGGTCGAATCGATTTATTCGCGGATTTCGATCCAAGTCGGTTGAAAGAGAAAAAAAATAATAAAACCGAACGATACGGTAAACCGGAACACCGAACGAGCCGCCGTCGTCGGCCGGCCAACCGGTCACGCGGACGCGGCGTCTACTATGGCGGGTTTCTCGACGCCGGAGTTTTTTCACTCCCGCCGACGGGTTTCGGCGCGCTCGGCGGGCGCACGGGATGGGTGGTTAACGGTGAATTATTGAAATTTCGTCGGGACGGGTCAATTTAATACGTACATAATATACGCGTACACACACGCGCGAAAAGCCGCCGCGTCCGTTTCGATTCGCACGGGGACGGAGCGCAGAGATCGCGAACCCGGGTGGTTTTTGGGGGGTGGCTGTGGGGTGGGGGGCGGCGGGGCGGACGGCGCGCGGGAGTGAACGGAGGACGCGACGGAGTCCGATTAATTACAGCGCTCGGCGCGACGCGTATTACGCTGCGTGTGTACGTACAGCGGGCGAACGGCGGCGCGAATTATTTATGCGACACGAACGAATTTCGAACGGTTTTAATTAATAATACGGAATAGCCGCCGCCGCCGCCGGATCGTCGCGTATAAATATATTATAATACGTACAAACGTCCCCGGCGCGCCATCCGGCCCGTCGCACCTGCCTATCGCCCCTCCCCCTCCACCGCCCACCCCGGCGACCCCGAGTACAACAAGTAATATGACTGCGCGATATTATCGCGGCGCGTCGACGTTTGTGCGCGAAACACTGACCGTACCGCCCCACCCCACACACACACACACACACACCCGCCGTGTAGCGTACAGTGACGTCATTCGTCGGTCTGGAAGAGTGGTGGCGGAGGGGAAGCTAGAGTGAGCGATCGTCCCGGGCGGCCATTTTTTACGCACGTCCGATCTTCCGCGAACGACGATGCAAATATTATCGGATCACGTTTTCTCATCGTTCGCTATACGGATCCCGAGACCGGCCGACGGGTCCGGATAAAGGTTCCCGTGGTTCCCGGGCCACCCACCAGACTCCCGGGGCCTCAGTTTTCGCCACATTAGAACGTTCGTTTGGTATTTTAATATTTTCCGTTGTCCGCGGACGATGACTTACTCGGGTCGTTGTACAATAGAAACTACTAGTCACTCGCCGTTTATGTCTATAGTGTTTAATATTTTTTTCTTTCGTTAAACCATATCGATTAGTAAACATTTCTAAAAAATCTATAGTATTAGTCTGTCGGCCGTAGTCACGTTGAAAATTTGGCCCCGAGGCCTCTCAATGTACTCTCGATCCGGGCATTCCGACCGGCACACAAGTGGGCTGTGCTCCGTTGCGAAATTATTCAGATATCAGTAGTTGCGTTCGCGATATTATGGCGGCAACGTTGTGCGTACGGCGAAAAAACGCTATACCGGGCCGCGCGGTTACCAATCATCTCGCCACCGCTCGATAATATTATACGTATTACCAGCGCGTATTATACGACGCCTAACGATTTTTAATGGTAACAAATACGATGAGATAAAACTAGTTCAGACATTACAACGGGTTCAGAACACGAAGACAACACCGAAACCGATAACCGTACCCGTGTTTCTCATTGGAATTTCAATGTATAGGTTTTTAAATTCCGACGAGAACAATTATAGTTTTATATTTGCGTTTATTTTCGACAAAACTTTTGTTTCGATAAAATACAAAAAAAAAAAAAAAAAACATTGTGCCACTGTTGTAAGTGAGAAGTTGGGAAGGTAGAGGGGAAATTCAATGTATATCTATATGCAACGATTAACCATTGCTAACGAAAAACGATTTTGAGCGGAGTTCAGTTAATAGGGTTCTTTGTCTACGATATATCTGTCGTATTATGGTAAAATAATTACATAATATGCATAATATAATAGTTTCTTAAATAATATTTGTTTAATTTTGTATCTATCAATTCTCCCGTTTTTCCTACGTATTTCCAGTTTTTTTCCGATTTTTTCATTAATTGCAAAAACTCTTGAAAAATTAAAAAATAAACTCCCTAAAATACCATCAAAATCAGATTTACTTTCTGAAAAAGTGTTATTATTAAAAATATGAGCAAAATTGTTAATAGAAAAGTTGTTGTTCACAGATACAGAAAATAGAAATAAACATCATTGTAAACCAATGCGTTGCTACCTCCACTCAGAATCTAAAACTTTATCAACGCGTGATGGATATATGGATATAGTATAGTCGGTTTAATTATACACGAATAAAACATAGAATCAATCGTTAAAACAATTAAAAAAAAACAAAAAAAAAAAAACGGCTAGTCGTTAAATGTTATTACAATTGTAGCCATTACAGTAGACATTTCTATAAATTGTATGTAGTATTTTTTTTTATTATTGTTCGGTGTAATCCGCTAAACCGAATTCGTAATTGTTTTTTAACCCGTTCATTCGGCTGGATACAAATTTTAAAACAATCGAATCGACCTATCACGATGTATTGTATTTATAGTATTTTAATCCGTTTTTTTTTTTTTAATTGTTTGACCAATGAAATACGGGGTGCATCGTGGCATTTTTATAGGCGATCGTGTAAAAAATATTTATAGTTTTCATTTTTTTTTTTTTGACTCGATAATATCAATGAATGTTTACGTATAAGCGCATAATAGATTTACAATAATATACGTTATATTATATTGAGAAATGGCTTCGTTATACGTTTTTTCTCGTACCACAGCTAGATACGAAGTTTCGATAAGTTTTTTTGCCTCTCTGTTGTGTTTTTTTTTTTTTTTTGTATACGCAATATAGACAAAGTATAATAAATGATACAGTAGCCAAACTTTGCTAAATTTCACTACGATCGGTGGGCTGGACTAAACTGACTCGACTGACCACGCCCGAAAACTGTGACTGATAATGCAACGGTTGTCAACGTGAACAAAAATAATATGCAGTTGAGTTTTAATACGAAGACTCGGGTTACGGTTGAAATGTATGATCTGCAACGATTTTTGCATAGTTTTTTAACTAACAAAACTCTTATGTTTTTTACCCAAACTAAAGATTCGCCGACACTCGAATGTTGCCGTTATCTATTATATTTGTTAGTAGTAGTTATTGTTCATTATACAAGAGAGCGCTTTAGGCTCCATGTTTACTCAATCACGAAAATTCTGCTTAAAATCTCAACCATAGATCTTGGTTCCATTGAGGTTCTATATGGTAACTCAGTTCGTATTTATCGTATTATAATAAATTATTACTGTCAAAAACTTGTTTCTAACAACCGTTACGAACATTTAGCCGTTTATTCTATGGTCACAGTTTTCATAATGGCCATCGTTGATAAACTAGAAGTTTCCTACTGTAGTGTTATTTACACAGCGATATAGGTACCTACCTGACTAAAACTGCGTGTCATAGAAGGGTGAGAATAAAAAAATGTAAGATTCATAATAATATTATCACGGTTTCGTTAAAAAGTGTTTACGCACTTAAATATTGTTATTATAATAACGCGTGAAATAATAATAAATAAAAAAACAATACAATTATAGTTGGGGAACAGTTTGCAGTGTTTGAACATATTCATGTTACATATTAAAGACCAAGAATGAATGCATTTAAAACGGTTTGAGTATACAATATTCGCTCGAGAATATTACATTTTACTACCTAAATAATGCATACTTATTAGTATATTAACTGAAATGATGACTTTTATGCAATGTAGGTGTATGTACGCTGAAATCGAGTATAATGTGCCACTGTGCAACGATTTTAGTTTGTCGTTTAACGTTACGATGTTGCCGTGACGTCGAGCAGGTGATACATAATATTATTATTATTATAAAAAAAATCCAACCGTTTTAGTGGTTGTATAATATACTATTATTATTCTAGATTTCGAGCGAAACGAGGAGTATGTATTAATTTTACTTTGCATTGGTATTTTTTTACATTTTTTATTAAAATTTATAGCACTTTTCCACCAAAAATCTTGCTCCAATCGTTAAAACTTCAGGAATGAAATGATTTCTTGTAGTGAGTTTTTTTTTTCCTAATCGACGACCGACATGAAAACGTTTATCATTATTCATTACGAATAGTACGCCATTTTCGATGTTATCGTCGCATTCTACAGCAATAACAATAATAATAAACGTAAATAAATATTGTTATTACGATTTTCGGCCATTCGACTCCGTCTGCAGTAAAGAGTCGAGACGAAAACATTAGTGTATTGTGGATCGACACGATGAATATTATTGTAAAGATAACAAAACGATATTTCGGAGTCAACCTAAGTGGTCGATACGTTAAGTTTTATTCGAGCAAATCGTTTTGTTTTTTTTTTTTTTGTATGAATGTGACTTACCCGAATATTATTTTGATCGAGTGAACTCCAAGACTCGAACAAAGATTTCATTTACAAGTTGTGACTATTGTACAAGTTCAGGGGTTACCCGTGGATAATATGCTGATGATTGATTCTCCCCCCCCCTTATTCGAATATATAAACAGGCATTTGATCTTGTTAATAAAATACGTTATTTATTGTTTGTGCGAGTATTTAGACGACTGCGAGAATTGAAAATATAATTAAACTAAAATATTATAACCAGTCGAACGTATATGGACACGAACACGATTCGAGAATCGAAATTTGCACAAGCAATATATTGACTTATAAGTGAATTTTCTTAGTAAATAAAATTGAAAGTATAAATTCAATGTAAAAAAAAAAAAAAAATATAATATTCTTGGTTGTAAAGTATCTTTGAAACAGGTATGTTGAACACGTATCTTAGATTTTATCTTTCAACATTCAAGTGTTGAATATCATGTGTTAGTTGAATTACGATACTGAAACTATTATCCAGTTTCAGTACAAAGTATCTATTATTACTCATTTTGAAGTATTGCCCATAGGCGGACGAAAAAAGAAAGAAGCTAGATCATCTCCTCTACCCCCGGATTTTCGAAAAATACATTAAAAATTTAAAGTGATTGTACAAAACTTGATACTTAAAGTACCTATAGTTTATGTTATTATTGTGTTTAAACATTAAAAATCGACGAATCAAATATCGAGTATCGAGTACCTTTGTTTCCGCCGCAATTGACCACCACTTCCGTCTTGATGGTCGTGGTCGTGGTCCTGGTCGTGGTGACGGTCGTCGTTTCGGTAGGCCTGCCGCAATATTCCGCGATGTCGGACTTCGTGTCCGCCGCGCCGCTGTTACTGTCGTCTTCGTCCTTGACCAAAATCGGGTCGAAGGTCACCGCGGCCGAGGGCACACCGGCCCGTTCGATGACGTAGTCGATGAGACCGTACACGGTGGCCACCACGGAGGCGGTCGCACCGGCCGGTCCAGCGTTCACGTCTGCCGCGGTGTTCTCTGCGTCCGACGAGTACTCGGATGCGGGCGGGGTCAGCGGGGCGGCGGAGACGGCCGCAGACACGTAAACGAATTGCGGAGACCCATCGCCGGCTCCTGAGCCCACGGGCGTCTCTGGCGGCGTAGGCGCGGCCAACGTTACCGTGCTCGGCGGTGGCAATGGCGGCAATGATCTATACAAATAATATTATATGATATTAATCGTACAGCTGATGTATCGTGAGTTAAAATGTAAACCGTTATGATACTTCGGCCTAACACAATCTATAACCCCACTAAACCTCTTCATGCACGGTGACATCATATTATGATACCACTGAATTTTAATACTTGTATTTTTTTTAAATACTATAATGTACATACATATATATATATATATATAATACGAGATGCTGTCATATGATACCACCATACTTAAATCTTATTTTAGGTAAGTAAAAATAATAATTAAAAAAAAATGTTTTTATTTTTTTCCAATATCAATGGATATTCATGCGTGAGAAGGCTATCCCGTACAATCAAGTTGAAATCGATAAAAAATGACGTTTTAAATTGTCCCTCCCTCCCCCGTCCCGGACGAAGAGACCGATAGAAAGCGATCGATAAAAGCAAGAAAAAATCATTAAGATAAAAAGAGATAGCAAATTGCAGTGAAGTAGCTCAAGACAGAGAGAACGGGAGGTATAATTTGGTTTGCAACAACGGTAATAATAATGTCAACAGTTTGAAGAAGAATAAGTTATAATTATTAATACAACATATTTTTCAAAAATTTAGTAAAAATGTCTAACAGTAATTGTATTTCGTTTAAAAATTATTAACCATTGAAATCTTTTGCGATTTTAAAAATTAGTTTATAATATATCACTCTTGAAATTACATTTATCGCACATATTACAAATCTAAATCATTCATCCAACTGTTTATTCTAAAATTTCTTCCAGAACACCGCCACCATCAATTTTTTTTTTTGAAGAATTACCTTTAGAAGGTATAATATAAGAAACATATCTCAGTAAACTCGATTCAATAAGTTTCGATGGGAATTTTTTTGCCCCTCTATAATATAGAACAGAGACGAATTACGTTTTAAATACATTACGAGTGGTATGATATTTTACTCGGCTGAGTAAATACTTTGTTTCTCATAAATATTAACATTCAAATATTACTACAAAAACTATAGTCGACGACAACATTTCTTATTATTTCTATCTCACTCTCTTTTTCTCTCGCTTCTAGTTTGATAATCCGATTTATACATTAAAAAAAAAAAAAATAAATAAATAATTAAAAGACGATAAGTATTTTACAGACGTTTTTAAGACTTCGTAGATTCGTTATTGTTGCGTCACTGTTGCTGTATATTATATGCTATATTTTATACTTCTACGTGCGTTTGTTTTCGTTATTCTGTACAGCAGACGACAATATTTTTTTTTTTATTCCATTATCGTTTTCGTGAAACGATTAGAAAAAGAGAAGACTGAGAAAAAATACGAACGAATCTATCTTTGTGCAGAAAGTTTAGAAGTTACAACAATGAAGTAAGTTTTCCACCCCTCCCCTCCATTCCTTCTGCTCGAATGAGAAATACAAACTGGTAGTATTATTGTCACAAATTCGCCGGATATATAGAAAAATGTGTCGAAATAAAAGTTTTTAACTAAGTTATTTCGATTTCGAAGAAGACGCGCCATTTTCGTGCGGATATTCCCGCGCAATAATTTCAAAGGATTGTTTTAATTTCGAAAGTTTCGGAGTCTCGCGGGGAAACTTGATGAATTTTTATTTCTTGCAAACTTTATACGCCAGCGATGATCAAAAATGTAACAACTTTATACACTTTTCGTGTATGCGAACACCGTAATATTTTATCGTCACGGTCACTAATGGTTACGCTCGCTAATATTTTATACAGTAAAAAAAATAAAAAAAATCAAATCGAATTATATTCGTCTATTTACTCTTTTTTATCGTTGTCTCTGTCCCTCGATGAATTTCCAACCAACCCGTCACGCAGTGGCGTATTTACGGTGGAAGTATATGTGCCCCTCTTAATTTATTTTTAGTATCCATTATTTTTTATGACTACTTATCTTTAAATTTAAATTTATTTAATTTTTAGTCAAAAGAAACAAAAATACATTGTTACCTATGGTTAAAAATTCAAAAAAACTCAAACGAATACAATATGTTCTTGTTTATAACGAAACTCATCTGAACTATTGTAATATGAAGAATGTCGAATTATTGTACTTAAATAGCAAAAAAACTAATAACAATTGCTAATACCTATATATTTGTATGATATTAGTTATAAATTTAGGGAAATTTGAATAACATTCAAGTATAAAAATTAAATATTGATTTTTGTTTTTTTTTTTTTTTAAACTCAACATTATAAAATTTGATGCAATTTCCTAATCCGATATCCCCCTTTTAATGAAATCCTTAATACACTACTGCTATTATGCGACACATTAAATATTGGGAACGTATATATATATATATAAGTGTATTCGTGTTATTTCATTTTTTTTTTCTCCAAACGAGACGTAATAAACTCGCCGATAAAAACGTCTAAACGTAGAAAAGGCGCAAAAAAATGTCGCAAACAAATTTTGAACAAATAACAATAACGTTATGGTAAAATATTAACCCGAAAAATCGATAAATGGAAATTGTCGGCAAAAATACGTTGATATAGTATAGCAGGTATTGAGTTAATTGCGTATCGTAAACGGAATAAAATTAATTTTAGAGCTATTATGAGTAATATTTTTTTCGAAAGTCTGTAATCCATATTTTGTATGCGGAATGATGCTTTAAGATCGAAGAACTGTTTCGAACGTCCTTCGAAAACGTGCAGCATTTATCGTCCCTAGTCATATTTCATAACGTTAAATGGTGTACGATCAATATATAAAATGCCGACGATGCGGACCAAAATAAATTAGGCTTGGTTATAAAAATATCCACGAAATTGATCAACATGACCCGACCTCTGCGGTTGTTTGACGGCGATAAAATAATAATGTTATAACGCTGTCGAAAACGATAATCCCATCTAAACGGTTTCCATAAAACGTATAATTTGAGGGTTGACTTGCGCGAATCTATTTGGACCACAGATGATAGATAAAATGACTATAGATAGCTGACGATATTATAGAGTCTATTAAGAAATACAAAGTTAGATGACAGTCATCAAATTAATAGGGCGGGTAGTATTGACTAACCCATAAAATATTTGCTTATGATGGGATATGCAATGATTCAGAGACTTAGAGACTACGATTGACTCGATAGAAACAATTTCAAATACATACGTTTTATATTATATTGTCACGTCATGGCGTATTTACTACATCGCTTTCCGCAACAAAAAATGACGTAACTATTTTTTTTTTGTACTTTTAATATCTCATTTTTTAATTTCTCATTATATCTCACTTTTTCAAACATTTGATCCGATCCCTTTGGACGAGTAGAGAATCCGGACTTGATCGAGATAAAACAATTTTCGGGCAACATATTAGTTCAATATTTCGTGGATTCACTCTCGTGGTATTCGATGGATACCGGGCTTACCCAATTTACTCACAGAGTATCGATTATATTATAATACGGACTCGTCATCTCCGCCTCGTTTGTAAGGTCAAACCCAATGAGACTCGCTGAGAGTATACATCATTTTTATCGGTTTGAGATTTTCGGTTTTCATAAAATATAATTTATTCGCTATTCAACGTAGAAAAGCTGAATATATTTTTAAAACGAATAAACGCAATGATAAATCATCGTCGAAATGTTTAACGTCATCGCATATCGCCGACGAGTTTATAATTATTTCAGTATATTGTGAATAATTTAAAAACTGACTATCCCCCGCTCGTATATGCATTATTTATAGTTATATCGAACCCTTTGAACATTTTTTTTTTTTTTACATATATTCGTAAATAAATAATACCCGTACATTCGTTAAAATAATGATGAAATAATAAGGCGATGGAAATAACAAAGGTACGCTACTGGCGACGCGTGTAATTTAATTTTAAATTATCATATTATAGGGTTAAATTTTTAATATACATATATATATATATTTTTTTTGATACAGCTTAAAATTAAACCCAAATTACACTTCACCTTAAATATACATATATACCGGACAAAAAATGTAAAATAACATTGATATATATTGTGTAGATGTAATAATCTAGGAAGGATGAATAATTGAATAACCTCTGTTTAAAAATGTTTCTCAGTTACTGGTAGTGTTTTAAAAATAAATTGTAAAACGGATTAGATATCCGACGTATTGTCTACTGTCTCGGTGACGAGAAAATCGTCTGGGCTCACATAAAACGAACTCATCGACTCTATTATATAAATGTAATCACCTGGAAAGTTCGAGTAAGTCGTGGGCGGCTTCCGTTTCTTCTTTGCTCCTCTCACGGAACAAATTCTGTTTCTGTTCCAGTTCGTAGCAATACTTTAAGTAATCTGCGAACAAAGGAAAACAAAACAAATAAATAAAACTGAATCCCTTTTAATTTTGTTTTTTTTGTTTTCTAAAGACGACAAGTCCGGCATACTACTTAGATATAATATACAGAAACGGTATTAATTTGGAACGGTAACCACGTTAATACGGTATTTTGGTCACGCCTCCGTCTTTGCGTACCCAGCAGCTTGTCGAGCGGTTGATGGGGTAGAGAGTATGGGGGAATGACGAGGATCTGTGTAGATACGTATATGGACAATAAAATAACTCGTGTTCGCCGGGGCATGACGAGGGGAGCGTCTCGACGCACGTGATAAATTCGAGGGCGATTCAGTGGCAACCTGTGGCGACGGCCCACTCCTTCGGGGATCGACTGTAGCGTACGGACTCTGCGGATGCTGGCGAGCCGTGAGGAGAAGGGGGCTTAATACATATTATTGTGTTGTTCAGCTCGCGAAACGCGAACGTCGGACGCGCGAAACGTCAGTACTTAATAAAGTCGCGTGTATAGATCGAAGTCTTCGGCGCGAGGTTTTATGGGTTAAGCGTGCGAGGGCAGGTCCGAGAGGACGGGAAACCAACGGATTCGCTCGCGGACAACAGTTCGCGTACGCCCGAAATGTCTCGTCATTAGTCTACCGCGCGGTGGTGGCCACCTGTTGTATTCGGACACACGGCGTCACTATCGACTCGTGTCCGCGGGTCAAAAACGAGATTTCCGAAGAACGGCCCCGGCGGTTTCGCCCTTTCCTCCCTCCCCCCCGTTACCGCCACCACTACCCCCTCCCCGCCCCCCGCCGCCGTCATGATGCGAAAACGATTTCTCGACGGAAACAGAAAAGACCAATTTCGCCAAACGCGCGCACAAGACAAATGCGAAACTTTAAATTGTCGAGAAGTTAAACGAATATACACTATACGCATACAGACGAGTCGGCGGCCCGGCACGGCAGATGGCGCGTTCGTGACGCGCGGCCTGTGTTTTTCCCGTCGAAATTAAAATGCCGCTATACTCGCACGCACGCACACACACACACATACACACACACACACACACACACACATACATACATACACACTGACACGCCGACGCGTCGGCCGACCCGTTTGTCAAAGGCGAACCGCGCCGAAAGTCGTGTCTCGCAAGCGATAAGACGCCGACGTTGTATGCGCACCGCGAAAATTATGGCCCTCGGTTTGTTACGCGCGATGCGTGACGTACATATACACACGATATTATAATACACCGTGTTACGTTTATAATATATTGCTGGTATTATTGTTACATATTCGTCTCGAGTGCGGTACACTGTACGAAAACTGTTTCGTCGTTGGAAAAAAACGGGGGGAAAATAAAAAAAAAAAACCATCGCAATAATATACCGACTTTGTCGTAGCTGCGGTGCTAGTATATGTATATTGAAAATAGGGGAAGCAATGATAATACGTGTTTTTTTATTTTTTTTATTTTGACGACACTGTCAAAGCCGGAGCATAGTATCGTGTTCTTGCGAAATTCTTCGAAATCGCGTAATTTTGCATCTTATACGTGTTTTTTCGCGCTCTGGTACGTACCGAATAACTTTCCATACATTCCGGTTTTATATTCCGATTGCTGTAGCGTACAGGCTATTACGATTTGACTTAGATTTTTTTTTTTTTTTTTTTTTGAGATGCTTTCACGGTAAACAACATATTTGCGATCAGTAAAAACACCGTGATTCTTTGACGCAACATATCGAGGGATGCGAAATTTCCTTACCGTTGTATTATATATATGAAAAATTTGTTCTAGATTTCCAACGGTTTTTCTACGAAATGAAAAAACATCCGTGAATAGCATAGCTCCGTCATAATAGTAATGGTTTTTTTTGCGCAAAGGCAAATTCATCCATTCTTTTATAAAACAATAAATGATATATGTATACAAAAAAATACACATCATACCGTACTATAATATAACGCAAAATTACAATACATTCCGACATCATGGGCACTGATTTGATAATTTTCAGGGGAGGAACAAATACGACACCGATCTCGAAAACAAGACCTGTACAAATAGTTATAATATGCCCATTATGAGAGGGTGAATCAAATATCATCTAGGCAGTGCGTCGTGGTTCGAGGTTAAAAAAAAACAATTCTGAGTAAACTTTGATTTTTTCTAAGGGGGCGAGGTGTCTCCACCTCTTGCTTCATCTAATAGACGCCCATGGGCGACACCAGAAAAACAATTTGATTAATTTCGTTTCTGTTGCAAAACTCAGCTGCCGTCGCCGCCTGACAAATCGAAAGCAAAAAGTTTTCGTGGTAATAATTTCTCGGGTGAGGTCGTTTGTCCGAATTCAAACATTTTACTGCAGGGTACCGGCGCAGCTCAGAGTTAAAGTCGTCACCTGACTCCAGCAGTTTAAACCACCGTAGTTGTTATTATAAGTTTAGTAATAATAATAATAATAATAACAATAATATTGTCACAATATTATTGTGTATGGCGAAAAACCACTAAAACCTCGTCATTATAATATACAACAAATATTTACCGATGAGATTATATATAAAAAAAAAAAAAAAAAAACATGATTTCATAGTGTATAAGGTACACAGGACAATGGTACGAGTCACCATTTTCTAAAGGTTATAATATAATATTGATGTTGCAGGATAGTTTTTATGATCAGCCTATAACTGCGCAGTCCATTGACGTATCAAGAAGCACTGTTATTATTTTATAAGCTTTGGATTTCATCAGGAGTATAGTTGGTACCTAATCAAGGAATTCGGTCGGTAATAATAAACACCTAACGCAAACAAATTAAAAATTTCAGAGAGACAATATCGCGGGAAAAACAAGAATTTTGAATTTCAAGTAAACGAGATTTTTATTCCCATTTATCATATGTGTAGAAATATTAAGTTTTCAACATGTTCAGTTTGTATGAACATTATAAATGCACTGTCTGTACCTTAGTAATAACCTCAACCAGTTTTGTATTAAAAGAAACATTTTAACTTATCCAAATAATGATTCCTAGAATAATTATCTTGATAAATTTAAATAATTAGAAATTTTTTTTATATTAAAGAAAAATATAATTTTGTTCATTACCTATCAAAAAACGGACTGCTTAAATCAGCGGTGTGTCCAAGAATTTTCAATGGGGATATAACAAATAAAAATCGTGAATAAAGATGAAATCGTCTTCTTCACCCAACTCGACTGTGGGAAAAGGCAATTTAAAAGCGGGATCCTAAAAAAAAGCCAATTTCTAATCAATACATCAAACTTGTTCTCGAAAATCGGCTGAAATGTTTAAGTTTCGATATTAATTTACTCATATTTTGTTGTATTTTTAAGCCATTGGGGGGATATAACCCCTTATCTCCCCCTTGTGCACGCTACTGGTAAAAAGTAATTAAAGTCTACACATTTGGTAAACATCCAAATTTCAAAATGGTCGTGTGATTGACGTTACTCAATAATATTTTAATTATATTAATATATAAATTAAATTTTATCATAAATATTTAAATGTTTAAAACATTAATCAAATGAATATTTGTAAAAAAAATGATCAAGGTAAATGTATGTATGTAGACGCAGGTGTGTAAGTAATGAAAGTATGAAAACACGTGTACTGTACGTATACGTATTTTGGTCATTTATATAAATAATGCATATTTCTATGTAAAAAAAAACACTGATCTCGATAATCATAAAACGCTACATAACAAACATCTACCCTCTTCCCGGAAAAAATGCACTGCTTTTGTTTTCGGGCGCTTCTTTAGGCCCAAATGTTTTAACTAATTGTCAACGATTTATGAGAACGGATTAAGATTTTTCTGTAAAATACAATGTTTTTTTTTTTTTTTTTTCATTCGTTTTCCCGTTGAAAATAATTTAACGTTATTGTAGATTATTTTTATGAGTTTTTGTCGCAGCGATCCGTTGTTAAAAACTGGGCGGATATCGATAAAAATACATTGCCATTGAAAGGGTTAAACAATAATATATTATGTAATCGAAAATGCTTTAATGAATTTGTACTGCGGACGAGAATGTGGCGCAGAACACCATCGGAAATACGCATGTATAAAGATACAAAACACAATGCGAACCATTAAATATAATATTATTGTCGTGTTGAACAAACCGCCGCGTCGCAGCACTAAACGAAAAACGATTGAATTAACGATCGTATTGTATTGTGTGTATCGTTCATTATTTAAAGGAACTGTTACTATTATTATTATTATTATTTTAGTTTCGTTCAGTTTATCGATTTTATAAAGTGCTCATTTTGAGAGGGGGGGGGGGGGGAAAATCGCAAACTCTCATTAAAATGGCATAGGATTTTGTATTAGGAGGGGGTGGGAGGTTTAAATACATAATTGTTTGAATCATGATGGAAGAAAAGGGGTATTCAGGTTGGGTTAGGTCGATTTTTCCAGAATATTTTTAGTAAAGTATATTTTTCAATAAAAAAAAAAAAAAAAAAAAAAAAAGACAACAATGAAATGAGAATATATCTTGCAATTAAATACTATGCAATTGACACATTCATCGATACAGTATCCCACGAAGATATATATACCCATTGTAATATCTCCGAAGGCAATAAAAATAATCAAATTTTGGTTCTACTCACAGGGATAAGAACTACAAACATTTATATTTCAATTTATTGTTTATGTTATAACAAACAATTTTAAAAAATAACTTTTTATTTTATTATTTTCGAAAAATTTGAATACAGCTATTTTAAAGAGTTTATTTTTTTGATCATTATGACACATCAACTTTTTATTTTTATTTGTGGTTTTTAATAATATTTTATAGTTCAGAACAAAGTACCTATAATTATACAAAGGGCTGTAATCGTATTCTATAATTGATTATTATGAATAATAATAATTTCAGCGCTATCGTTGACTAAGCAAAAAAGAAACATTTTCTATTTTCTTCGTTTGTAAACTACAGAAATAACGGATAAATTTATTTGACATTTACAATTTCATTATTTTTTATTTTCTACCAGTATTCTGGCTCTGAATTTTAAGAGCAGTATTTTTTATTAAAGAAGATTTTGTCAAGTTGGTATACATTTTATGTTGGATTTTGATTTTCTTTGTAATTTCGTAATTTCTTTTGATAATTGGAAAAACTGGGATAATACGGGAAATTTTACAGTAATAAGACCTCATTAATTTTGATTTGTTTTTGTTGATTGTAATTTTGTTGAAAAAAATTATAGAGACCTAACATTTTCATCAAATTTT